GCTCCCAAAAAACAAAAACAAATGTTTTGTAGAAAAACTGCGCCAAGAAAAAGTTTTGTGTAGTTGTTTCTGGAAAGAAGGAGAGTTATTACTTTCAGAAATACGATTCCCACAGTGGTTTTGACAAAAAAAATTAGAAATCAAAATCAAAGCCAAGTCAACAAATGCCCGATGATAACTCTAAACCAAAGGATTGAAAAAAATCCTTCGTGAAGTCGAAAAATCAGTTGACAGGATCGACATTCTTGGCGCGGAATTTTCCAATTCATTGTCTCAAATTAATCTGTTTCGTTATCTTCTGATCCGCGCCAAGAACATCGATATTTTCTCCATCGATTTTTATACTTTACAAGGGATTTTTTTTAATCCTTTGATTAAATTTCTCATTGGACATTTGTTGACTTGGCTTTGATTTTGATTTCTTCTTTTTTTCTAAATTTCTGTGGGAATTATAGTTCTGAAAAAAATAGTGTTTCTTCTTTCAAGAAACAACCACATAATACATTTTCTTGGCACGGTTTTTCCACAAAAGCATTGGATTTTGTTTTTGGTTTATTGTAATACATCATCGAACCCTGAAAAAGGTATTTTCCAAGTATCAATTTTTCGTTTTTAATTTTCTGTTCAGATCTGCAGCATACGAACCAACTCTTTTGAAATATGATTTCAATCAGATTTTCTCTAAATTTTCCGGAAAATTAATCAAATTCAGGGGAAAAGGTTGCAAATAAGGTCAAATCAACTTAGGTTTATTTTTTCATTTTACCCACGAAGGTTAACTGAGGAGAAAAAATGACCAATCATTTTTAAAAATCCATATTTTGACTTCTTTCAGGTATTTCCGAATGTTACATAAGAATGAAAAATGCCGAATCGATCCCTTTAATCAAGCGAAAAGTCATTATTTTAACTATCAGATTTTTACTACTCGATAAATCTCCCCTTCAATACATATGTACGTGAAAGGTACAAAAAAGAAGTGGGCAATTGCTTTCAATTGTGTCAATTATAGTGCCTGTTTTTGCTAATGAATTAGCAATATGCTTCCGAATGGATATTATCTTTTCATTACACTTTGCCATTAACTGATGATATACGTCCCCATGAGAGCCTCATTACCCCTATGACCCCCATAATCCTCTCATAAGAGCCTCATATTCAGGCGTCGCTGAAAGATCAGGGGACGCTACCCATAGCAACCCCTTCTAGCAATCTCCCCTAGCAACCGCCCATAACAACCCCCCTCGCAACCCCCCATAGTAACCCCTATCAACCGCCCCTAGCAACCCTCTTAGCAACCCGCTAGCAACCCCACTAACAACCTCCCCTAGCAACCTTCCTTAGCAACCCCCTCCCTAAAAACCGCCTATAGCAACCGCCCTTAGCAACCTCCCATAGCAACCCCCCTAGCAAATTCCCCTAGCAACCACCCCTAGCAACCTCCCCTAGCAATCCGCCTGGAAATCCTCCCTAGCAACCCCCCATGGCAACCCCCCTTATATGACCCTCATAAACCCCCATAAGACTCTCTTAAGACCCCGATAAGTCCCTCATATAACCCCCATAAACCCGCATAAGACCCCCATATAGCCTCCAGAAATCCCCGTAAGTCCCCCATGAATCACTTAAGGACTCCCATAAGATCCCCATAAGACCGCCATAAACCCCCATAATACCCCCATCAAACCCGCATAAGATGCCCATAAGACCCTCATACGAACTCCATAAACCCCCATAAGACCCACATATGACCTCATAAATCCCTGTAGGACCCCAAAAGACCACCATAAGACCCCCATAAGACCTCCATACTATCCCCATAAGACCCCTATAAGACCCTCATATGACCCCCATGAACCTCCATAAGACAGATAGATTGTACCTCCATAAGATCAGATAGATTGTACGTCGTTGCATCTGTTGATGAATAAATGATTTTTTTACGAAAAAAAAAAATTCTAAGCGAATTAGAATTTAGAGAGAAAAAATTTCTGTTTCACCCAGCCGGGAATCGAACCCGGATCTCCCAGATACGCACCGGGCACTCTTACCGACTCAGACCCCCATAAAGCTTTCATAAGACCTCCATGAAACCCCATAAGACTCCCATAAAACCCTCATAACACCCCCATAAGGGCCTACGATGCGCCAACCTTGCGTCAACCTTGCGCCAACATTGCGCCAACCTTGCACCAACATTGGGCCAAACTTAGGCCAAATTTTTGAGAATAATTCACAAAGTAAAAGGGCAATCGACACCATCTTCGAACTCGGTCTACATAACATAAAAACGAATATTTCTAGCCCAGATTCGATTGATTCAGATAGTTATTTTTGAAGTTATCGTGAAAAAACTGAATCAGTCACATACACACATACACACGCAAATACATACATACATACATACGCACAGGGTCCTCCCTAGCAACCTCCCCTAGCAACCTCCTTTAGCAACCCCCTAGCAACTCTCCATAGTAATCCCCGTTAGCAACCCCCTAGCAACCCCCCTAGCAACCTCCCCTAGCAACCTCCCCTAGCAACCCCCCCTAGAAATCCTCCCTAGCAACCCTCCTGGCAACTCCCCCTCATGTGACCTTCATAAACTCACATAAGGTTCCCTTATGACCCCCATAAGACTCTCATATGACCCTCATAAAGCCCCATAAGACACCCTTAAGACCCCCATAAATCCCCATAAGACCCCCGTATGGCCCCCCTAAATCCCCGTAAGTCCTCCATAAACCCCCATAAGACCCCCATAAAACCCCCATAAGATCACCATAAGACCCTCATACGAACTCCATAAACCCACATAAGACTCCCACAAGATGCTAATATGACCCCCATAAACCCCCATAAGACCCACATAAGACCATCACATGACCCCCATAAACCCCCATAACACCCCCGCAAAACTCTCATAAGATCCACATAACACTTCCATAAAGGCCTACTTGGCGCTAACCTTGCGCCCACATTGCGCCAACTTTATGCCAACATTGTACCAACCTTGTTCCAACATTACGCCTACATTGTGCGAACCTTGCGTCAACATTGGCCCAACCTTGGGCCAAATTTTTAACAATAATTCAAAAACTAAAAGCGCAATCGACATCATCTTCGAACTCGGTCTGTGTAACATAAAAACGAATATTTCTAGCCCAGATTCGATTGATTCAGATGATTATTTTTGAAGTTATCGTAAAAACACTGAATCGGTCACATACACACACACACACGCACATACATACGGACATACATATGCACATACATACGGACAGGGTCTAAAAACATCAGATTCGGACTCCTGACCCCCAAATTAGTCATCTTCACGAAGAAAACTAAAAACTTAAATTCGGAAGAATACAATGCTTCCATTCTGAAGCAAAAAATTATCGAAAACTTTGTAGCCGGATTAGCCTATGATATTTGATGGAACGGCAGATATTCACATAACCATTCTACTCATGCGTGTATATTTATGTGACGCTTCACCCACAGAATTAACAGTGCAACAGTTTGAAGCCTATACAATATAACTGCCATATACCCGTAAAATCTTGAGTTTACTACGTCGATTCTGCATAATGCCGAATAATCTCAAGCTACAAATTACGTTAAACTTCATTTTGATTATCTCTGAAAATCAAATCAATAAAAAAGTCAAAAAAAGTGATCGACTTTTGATTCTTTTCAAGTTATTTTCCTATGGGAAAATCTTATTGAACGCAGCAATTCAGACATGGATCGCCTTGCCTTCCAACAATAACATTATTGAAATATTTACATCATACACTGCATGCGATGGAAACCTGCCATATAGTCACTTTTCCTACCTTTCTTCGAGAATACCGATAACCAGAGCTCAGAATGGTTTCATACACTGAATTTTTTATTCTAAGCTATCAGGGAATGAAAAATATTGAATTCCTGCTGATGTTGATAAACAAAACTTGACCATTTTCATATTATTAAGAAATGTTTTTATTCTAAGTAAAGAAAGTAAAGCATATTTTCTGCATGCTTTCGCAGGGGTAGATAATTAACTGCATTATAGGTCCCAATTGTCCAATATTGTGTGTGAAGGATATGAACTTGGTTCTATCGAAAATCTATTGTGCTAGTACATTTCTGTTCCCCTGCTTGTTAAAAAACAAGCAGGGGACAGCGAGCATATGACAGCGTGCCATGTGACAATCAGCATGTTACGGAGTGATTTCTTTTTTTTCGCTATCAATACATTCATGACGGGCTTCCAAATTGCCTGAAATATTACAAAAGTTTATAGCTTCACAACCCTAACTAGCAGCAAACATTTCAGATCGTTACTGTTACCTCCATGGGTGCTATCAAAATTCTAATATTTCGAATACTGCGTATGAGCCGCTACACATATTTTTTGTGCAAATTTCGAGTTGATATCTGGATTTTTGAACAAATTAGAGTGTTTATAAATTTTTTTTTAGAGAAAACCGGGAATATCTCAAAAACTTTGCATAAATGGCTATGCTTGATTTAGATAGGAGGCATCAAAACGAATATGTTTAAAACAAAAAGAAACGAAATCGGTCCACCAATTTTCAAGATATTTGCGGAAAACCATTTAAAAACGAATGGCTCTTCCTCCAAAACGATTAGAACAATCGGGCTGAAAATTTGTACTGAGTTAGTCCTCACTAAGACCTACAATCTGACAAAATTTCAAATTTTTTCAAATTACTTTAGCCACGTAATTACTCAATTTTCTACAAATTGACCACTGGGTAGGCAGCGGTGGACATGGTCACATACAGACAACTTCGTATTTTCACGTTTCAGACCATTCTACATCATTTCTAATCAAAATGAAATAATGTGAAAATCGAAGGATTACAATGCTTCCATTCGGCAGCAAAAGGTAAAAAGTATTGAATCGTGGATATTCATTTGCGATAGAATTATTGACTTATGAATTGCATATATACTGGTACATTAAGCAGAGTATTAAATTGCAATCCTACCTGTTTCTCCAATTCTTTTCCACGTGTTGTAATGAGGCGATCGCAGTAACAACCTTCAAGTAATATAACACCGCTGGGTCGGGAAAATGTTTCGCTCTCGTAGTAAAATAACAAATTCTGAGGAACAAAAACGGAATTTGTATCAAATTACATTCAAATCAATCAAAATGAGGATACGTGGGGAGAAACCGCGAAAAGATATTGATACATAACGGTGAAATAATTATAATTGTATATAATATTCATGGCATGCTAATAATTACAGCAACTTGCATCAAATTTTGAAATGCCGAAACTACACATTTGGCCAAGACCATAAGCAATTCGACGTCAAATACGAAATCGATAAAAGTGGTAGTTTCTGATGGAGTTGGCGATTCCTTTCCCAGGAGAAGTAGATAAGATAGACTTATCTCTAAATTTTCAAATCAATTGAAAATTTGTCCACTGAGCTATAAATTTTTAAGAATTTTGACTTTTCGAAAGTAAATTTTGATCGCTTGCCACGACATGAGATATCTTGATTTTATGATTGGGAATTGAATTCCTGTCTTCACACATTAATTATACTCGAACCTCGTCTTCGAGATTTCAATAACTTGTAGTACCCACACACCTTCAGAAACCAGAGCAAAAGTTGGCTGTGGCACCTCGGCGGTGAGGCCCCGCCTCTTATCATTTGTTTTTGTATGTGCGCATGCGGAGTTTCTCAGAGTTTCCAGTATATTTTATTATAATATTCTATTTTTCTGTTTATTTCCCATAGTTTTTACATAACCATGGATAAATGTAAAAAGAGGAATTACACAGAGCGGTTACATATCAAGAAATTCTCAGTGATATTCCAAAATTCATATGGATAGATTGATCGACCTTTCTCTGGATGATTAATCCAATGAAAATAAAGGTAAGCTATTTTCATATGTGTCAGCCTATTTTGGGCACTCGGATCAGATCCTAGAGACAGAACCAATTGACGTCCAAGGCTTATGTAGGCAAAGCTTATCCCTTGTGGAAAGACTCACAGCCTGACCTCATTTTACCTTGTACTCCTGGTCCCAGAGACAAAGTTGAGTACAAGGAAATTAAAAAAGAGGCTGTTATAGATAAGTCAGATGGCTTTTCCATTCCTGACTCTCAGGACAGTGCGAACAACAGCTCAAATCCTGGCGTACCTGACACATCCCAGTAAGCAAAAATAGAGTTTTTATATGTTCCTAGTGTGTACCTCAAGAATATCAATACGTACTGAATACATTCCTGAGGAATCCTACAGATATATCCGAATGAGACTATAGAACATCCAAAATACATTCCAAGTACATATCAGTGGTACGTATCGGTATATCCCCGTCACGCACTGAATACATCTTTTAAGACAAGTTTCAATACATTTTTCGCATGAACGTAACATGGGGTATTGTTTAAACTATCAATTTATCTATGCTGCTCATTTGACTACAAGGGGTGTATATTTTTAGGTAATATAAAATGGTAATGATCGAAAAATAATAATTTGGAGGGAAAAAAATGGCGAAACGGCCGGGATTTAAACCAAGGTTGTAATTGACGTTGAACTTAACAGTGTCAAAAAAATAAAATTTTAGATTTTTTGTTAGTTTTCGATCGATTTTCTCCGTACTGCAGGGTATTGAGGGGTTTGTCTAATAATCGCGGTTGTCCTTGAAATCCTGATGAATGTCTGTAACAGAAGGAATCGTTTAGCCCCTTGGGTCATTGTATTAATTCTATTTATTACTGGTATAAAATGAGTAGTATAGTTCAATTCAAAATTGACGTAATTGAAGGGTATCTTTCGATTGACGATGTCGAAGATTAAGATACCATAATCTTGGATTGTTATGATAATTTATCCAATTGTTTATTATTAGTTACAGACGTTTTCTATTCGAAAAGACATGATTTGGGAACGTATCATTACAGAATTTATCGACCGAGACAATTACATATGCTTTTGATACATATGCCGCGAATTCGAATTGAATGTAATATTTATTTTCATATTTAAGAGGTATTACTGATGAATATATTGGTACGGACATTACGTACACACCATGAAAACAATAATTCTCATATATATTAATATTTTTTTTACTAGTACACACAGAGGTTGGAAAGAAATAATAGGTACTGTAGAGAGACATGCATGGAATGTATTTTTTATGGTACGTAGAGTTGGCATATGATTGGGAGAAATGATGCGGATGGTGTCCTATACGGATTCAGTCACACAGTAAGTTGATGGAACTGCGTGAACATATCAACAACCATATAAACCAGTGCTGCTTGATTTATAGAGCATAATCATATATCAGAGAAATATATATGCGAAACGTACCAAACTGAATCTTGACAATAGAAATCAACAGCGATTATTTTTGTGACCTGCAATTGAAATAAATTCCGAAATGTATTTCTTGCTATCTCCATGTACGTACTTCAGAAGTACATACCAATATGTTCGCAAATGGGAGGTATGGAAATTGATCCCTGATGAACGTATCGGTATGGATACTCCATAAACATCATGACAACAATAATTCTCATATGTGTTGATAAGTTCTCAATCAGGACATATCGAGATTGAGAAGAGATAATATGGATTGTCAAGAGAGATCCATGGGATGTACTTGGAATGTATATTTCGAGATATCCAGAGTTGGTATATGACTAGGAGGAACGTACAGAGAGCTTCTCATACGTATTCAGTTTCACGTTAGGTTAATTAAACTGCGTAAACATATAAACACCATATAATATCGGAGCTTCTTGATTCAGACTTCAGAATAACATCTATTGTAATAACATCTATCGGCATCTATCATATCCGTCAGATGAAATACATACATGGAATATTCATGGAGGGTTTCTATGATACGGATATCGAGGAACATATTAAAAATTAATACCGATATGTACCTTTGCTTACTGGGATATGCGCCTGATGCATTTAACCAAGGTGCAAAGCCTTGATTTTCTATTCTAATGGCTATATCTGCGCTTGACGCATCAATTTCAAGGTTTCAAGCCTTCATTTACGATTTCAATAGCTACTTCGGCGCCTGACGTATTAATCCAAAGCTGCACTGGATAAACGTAAGCCTTCATGCACTATTCTAGTAGTTGACTGTACGCCTGACGCATTAACCAAAGCTCAAAACCTCCAATTATTATTCTATCAAAACTAGATTCAGGAATGAAGGAGCTACTAGGTATAGACCGCTCGAATCCATGCAGATCCCTTCTCAGAGTGATCTTGAAGCTCGTTGAGGTTTCTGACTGGCCTCGAATTTGTAGAGGCACAAATTTAAACAGATTTATGGCACAATATCCAACACATCTGAATCTAGAGATTTCCATTATCTTCATAGAACCGTTGATCCACAAAGATAAAACAGTGTTTAACATATATACAAACACACAAGTTGTGCCCCAGTGGCATTGGAGACGACTGCTAGAATTCTGCTCTCGGATGAGGAACTAGATTAACTAGACCTCTAAAATAGTTCCACAACTACGGGATGCAGGGAAGATGAAATATCAAAATTCATCATAACTCTTTCTCTTTTAGATGAGCATCAATTCTATTAGTCTGAACAAATGAATTTGAAGTGCCCTGGAGGCTACAGCTCCAGTTCAATTGTTGTATGGCTCCACTTCCTTCGGGAAGGTTGAAGAGGTTAAGACCATTTTAAAATTATTTCAAGGCCTCGGAACTTATCCGACTTTGTAGGGGAATCTAACCTTGCTGAATGCAATGGAGCTCGTTTTTAGGACGTGAAGAAAAAACGGTTCAAAAACCTCGGATGCTACTGAAGTTGAACCGGAGTCTAACCGGAAGCATTTCTTCATTTTTCCCAACGACCCCGGTCACGTCACTGTCTCCAGAACTATCCAACTTTCAAGAAAGCAAGATATAAGGACAAAAACCTTTGGAACCATTCACAAACATTTCCTTCTCAATCGAAAATTATTCTGTTCTGATTTCTTTGTGCTGGAGTGAATGAAGGGTAATATGCCTAAAAAAACAAAAACCAATATTTTTATAAAAAACTGAGGCAAGAAAAAGTTTTGTTTGATGTTTACTTGAAGGTACAAATTTTTTAAAAATATAAAGAAATGAAAAAGAAAAACCAAGTCAGGAATGTCGAATGAATGGTCGTAGTACCCACTCAAATTATAATGAAAAAAATAATTTTAAATCGAATAACGGTTTGAAAAGAATTCTCTATATGAAATAAAAAATAGAAAGAGGACCAACATCCTTGGCGCGGATTAGAAGATGGAGGATTAGATTGATACCAGACTGTGAGTGGAAAAACTCCGCGCCAAGAAAATTGGTCCTCCGTCCATTTTTTATGTCATAGAGAATTTTTTTCAGGACCTTATTCAATTTAAAACTATTTTTCTCATAGAAAATTGTATTTGTACTATGACCATTCATTCGACATCCCTGACTTGGATTTCTTTTCAAATTGTTTATATTGTTAAAAAATTCGTACTTTCAAATAAGAACCAAACAAACCTTTTTCTTGACGCAGTTTTTTTTACAAAAACACTGGTTTTTGTTTTTTAGGCAGATGTCATTATTTTCCACAAAATGAGTAAAGAACCGTTTTTACATTCTGTAAAATTTTTTCATTCTAATTAAATTCAACTAATTCATTTTTCACAAGATAGAACATCGTTCCAATTAACAATCGACGCAGGACAAACACTTTTACTCCAGATTCATTATTTCCACCGACTTTTAATTATACATTCAAGATTTTCTATTTTAATGGGTTTGTTCCTTACAATTTTTTTTTATTTTCTACAGGGATTATATTATTTTAAGAGATAGATTGATTTCCGTTCAGAAACAGCCGAACAAAATATTTACTCGGAATGTTTTTATAAACAGCTTCTGTTTCTATTGTTTTTTTGGAAGATATTACTCATTTTTTCAAAATAATAACAAAATCGTTTTTGTGTACTTTGCATCTCATCATAACCTAATTTAGAGTATTTTTTCCACGAAATTGAAAACATTTTCTGATATAATTTGAAAAAAGTTCATATTTTGTTTTCAATTTCAGCTATCCATGGACCCTTAATTCTTGATCACACAATTTTAAATTATAACCTCGCAAACTATCTCTATCTCCAAGGTCTACATATAGATATGACGAGACGAATTCGAATTTCCGGCAAAGGGAAAATAAATAAAACACAGATTTGATTTTCCGTTTCACTTTAATAAATGATTTCAAGTGAAAGAAACGTTTCCCGTAATTCTCCATAACACCTTCATAACACACACATCATTCCCACATTTGACTACACTGGTGGCTACACCTCGACGTCGAATGTGGATCTCAGTTGGATCAGCGCTGCCAACGTCGAAAACAAAATGTCACACTTTATAACGTGAATCGCGAGAATGGGAATATCAACCCATCGCTATGCGCGTATCATATTCGTTGTTAATCCAAATAATACTAGAGTTGCACCACTGAAAAGCTCATGAAAGATTTATATAGTGTAACTAAGGACAGTTTTTCAATTTGTCTTCCCGTTTTAATAATATTAAATGTGAATCATTGGGAGGCAGTGGAGGAGGAAGCGACGTCGTGTATGAATACACAGTGCACTTGGCCTGATGTTTAGGAGTCTAAACTGTTCTTGGCCGATACGACTATCGTGTATCTCGATTATTCCCTTTAATTCTGTTTCTCACCAATCGGTAATTCCTCCAGAATCTAAATTATCTGAAATTAAAGGAAATATTCCTGAGGAAAGAATAAACCCGTATGTGAGCATGGGGCCAAATAAAACCTCGGTATTCCTATCAGGATTAACCCGTTTGGTTGTACCATTGTTGTTAAAACAAATGTTTGAAAACGGTCAATTTTGAACTTCAAAAGATTCATCATGTTTATGTATATTCATATGGTACTTGTTTAAAATTTCCTGTTTCTCATTTGGACTTTCAACTCTCGTTATCGCGAGTGACGAAAGCAGTCAGAAATTATATTGATTTACAGGCTTCATATAATCTGGTTATCTAGATGATATTTTATTATTGCTTCGCCGGTTGTTGAGTGCGACACTAATACAAAACCAAATTATCAAGGCACCATGCTGTCTGGGCTTCATTAAAAAGTGAAAAACTTTGTGAATA